TTGAAACCAAACAAGTTTTGAATTTTAAATTTTGAATTCAAAATGACGCTTTTAAATGTATTATATGAAAACTCAAAATCAAACCGGCTTTGAGTTTTGAGTTTAAACAATTGATTTTAAAACTCAATCAAACACCCAATCAATCAAACACGCAATATGATTTTAGTTTGGCAAGATATCACCGATCATGTATTTTTTATTTTTATTTTTGGTGGTAATGTAATTTTTTTGGTAATGCTACCGGCAATAATATCTTTTTGAAGGCCTAACCACATAGGGATAGCTTTCATGGTTAGATCCTATAAGGAGCTAATACCCTAGAGGTCATCTTTAGGTAGTTGCTACATAGCAGGACTGCTTAACCATGTAGCGATAAGTCACGAACTCATACATAGGTGGGGATTCGAACTCACGCTCTTGACATTGGGTATGGTTTGTCCAAGCCTGTTTGTGTTGTAGCATGTGTGAAGGTAGAGTCTCACATCAGATAAAGAATAAAAAGATGGGTCTTAATATACATTAGATGAACTCTTCACTTATAGGCTTAAGTTTTTAAGTGGATATAAGTTTTAAATAATGTATTTTGGGCCTTGGTGTGATATTTGTAGACTCTAGAGTTTTTCCCTAATGGATTGGACCAATATTGTTGGGCACTTGTGGGCTCTCTAATTACCGAACAACTGGTATTAGAACCGATGACAGAGGATTTATGGGCAAACTCTCCTGAAGCATTGATGTTGATGGACTTGAGCTTGCACAAAAAACTTTTAATGGAGTAAAAAAATCTATAATAACTCTTGATGGAGCAAAGAAAATTCTTGGTACACGTGGCAAGGGTTAGATCGCGACAAGGTGACTCTCAAGAGAGTATGGTGACTCATGATAGAGTGTATGCAAGTGACACAAGTTAAAATTGATGTTGGAGAGTTATAAATTAAGATTAAGAGAGAGTGTGTAATAGCCAAATTACATTCGATGTTGGAGAGTTATAAATTAAGATTAAAGAGAAGTGTATAATGATCTAAGATGAGGTTGAGTTAATATCTGGATTAATAATAATATCTTTTTGATATATTAATATGTTGGAAATTTGTCTATCTTCTCTGACAAGATATAATTGTACACCCATACATAGCTATATAGAGCTATTTATCAGTAATACTATAAAAAAATGTTGTAATAAATTTATGTTTCATAAATATAATAATTTTTTTAATAAATTTAAATTTCACAACTACAATAAAAAATTTATACAAGGAGAAAAAATATTAATAATGAAGTGTCAATGATATTTTTAAAATTATGAAGACAGTGATAGATTGTATTTTGATTGAAAATGAAGTAACCAGAAGAAGTTATACTATTCCATAAATAATTTTTATAAAAATTGTATTGGAAAAATTATAAATAAAAAAAAAATCCCAGGGTTTGAATCATGTAATAAAATAAATTCTAAATTTTTTATTTGTTTTTAATCTAAATTGTTTGTCTATTTTTGTTAAATAAAACGGGCGAAAAAAATTATATTTAATCATTAAACTCAATGTAAGTATATGAAAAATATCTAACGTATAATTTATGTCGAATTTAATGGCTAAAATATATATATATATATATATATTTCATATTTTACTTAACAAAAATAGGCAAATGGTTTAGATTGAAAGAAAATCAAAAGTTTATAGTTTAAATTGACAAAATTAAAAATTTAGAATTTATTTTATTACAAGGTTCAAACTCTAGGTTTATTTTATTATAATTTTTCCAATTCTATTTGTATATCATTACTCTCGAATAAGAATGAGAGATTATTGCATTATGTTTGATTAGGATGCCCTAAAAAAAAGGAATTTATTTTTTACTATTAATTGGATAGAAAGGAAAAATAATTTGAAGTGACATAAATGTATTTTCAACAAATATATTATTTTTTAGGTGACTGCCTAAATAATAATATTTGACATTTTAAATCTCTAAACACTCCCATAAAATTCTTATTTACTTAAGCAACATTTGGCATTATCCTATCCAAAACTCACTTAAACTTTAACCACCCCCCCCCAAAAAAAAAAAAAAAAAAAAAAAAAACAAAAAAAAAACATTAATCATTTGTCAAATACATAGGATTTTTTTTAGCAATAATAACCGTATCATAAGAAGTAAAAAATTTAAAACTTTACTATAAGTATTAAAATTAGCTCAAAAAAAAATATTTGGATATTATTTGTCATCATTGAATAAAATATAAATATGAATATGACAAATTTATGGACAATACTTTATTATCATTTCATGTGTCACAGTTTTAGTAATTTAATGGGTTCCTGCTCATATTTATTATGAATAGAATATTAATAAATAATAACTCAATTTGGTATCACCTGTAATTGAGTTTTTATGATTATAACGCTTTAGATTGTTAGTTTCAAAGAATTAAAATAAGTTCTAAATTTGTTTGGTATAACTTTTTATATTCTATTTAAAAAAAGGTTAAACCTGTTTGATTACACGTTTATATGCAAATATCTAACATTCACTCAAAAAATATAATTAAGACAAAAGAAATAGAGTTATTTTGTCCATATAAATTATGAGTCTTAAATAAGTTTCAAAAATTATATTTTACAACTTAAAAATATATCATTTTTTTAATTTTTCAAATTAGTTGAAAAAACACAATAAATTATAATCTAAAATTGCAATCAAACACAATTAGTGAATTTTTTTTATTAAAAAATTGATTTGTAAGTGTTATCAAAAGAGACAAAAATTACAAAAAAAAAATAAAAAATTATGAAATTGTCCAAGCAAAATAGAAAAAAGAAAAAAAAAAGAAAAAGAAAACACAAAACACAAAATAGGGGCAAAAGTGAAAAGAAAAATAAAAGCCATCTTGGCCGGTAAAAAGTAATAAATCCCTCTTAGATATATACATAAACAT